TAACAAAGGGGAAGCAACGCAAGGGATAAGATTTATTTAACAAAAACAATGGCTGGCTGGAGAAGAGAGGTCAAGAAGGGAGAGTGCGAAATGAGAGCAAGTGGTGGATCTTGGATCTGAAGCTCTTCTGGAGACACTGGCCAGCTGCCTCCACTTCCAATCAACGTGGCTTTAAGAATCTGTTGGACTCCTGGCAGGGACCAATGCAGACATGTTCCTGTTTTTAGTTTTATACATTTGTCTCGGAATCTAGTAGTTTTTTTGGTTTTGTTACCTTTTTCCTTTTAGCCATCCTATTTGTTAAAAAAAAAAAAAACTGTAGTATGAGTTTTTATAACTGCTTATTGTTGTTGCTGTTGTCCATTGTTGTCATCTTTCTTTGTTGAAATCAGGTCTCTCTTGTAAATGAGTCCTCGAGGCTCAATGGGATTTACCTGTATAAATAAAGGTTGATTGATTGATCAACAACACTTAGGAGCACTGAAACACAGACCTGTTGAGAGGCCAAAAGGAAAGCATTGGGCCATAACAACAGATACAGGTGGTTGAAATGATTCCTCTGCAGGGTAGCTGGACTCTCCCTTGGAGACAGGGTGAGAAATTCAGTTATCCGAGAGAGACTGAGTAGAACCGCTACTCCTCCACGTCGAGAGGAGCCGGTTGAGGTGGTTCGGGCATCTGGTAAGGATGCCCCCCTGGCGCTTTACTATGGAGATGCTTCGGGCATGTCCAACTGGGAGAAGACCCCGGGGAAGACTATGTTCTCGGTTGGCCTGGGAACGCCTTAGAATCCTCCCAGAAGAGCTGGAAGAGGCTGTAGAAAGATACAAACCGGATTCCAAAAAAGCTGGGACACTACACAAATTGTGAATAAAAACTGAATGCAATGATGTGGAGATGGCAAATGTCAATATTTTATTCGTAATATAACAGATGACAGATCAAAAGTTTAATCTGAGTAAATGTAACATTTTAAAAGGAAAAATATCTTGATTCACAATTTCAGTGTCAACAAATCCCAAAAAAGTTGGGACAAGTAGCAATAAGTGGCTGGAAAAAGGAAATTGAGCATATAACGAACAGCTGGAAGACCAATTAACAGTAATTAGGTCAATTGACAACATGATTGGGTATAAAAAGAGCTTCTCAGAGTGTCAGTGTCTCTCAGAAGCCAAGATGGTAAGAGGATCACCAATTCCACCATTGTTGCACAGAAAGATAGTGCAGCAATACCAGAATGGTGTTACCCAGCGTAAAATAGCAAAGACTTTTAAGTTATCATCATAAACCGTGCATAACATCATCAAAAGATTCAGAGAATCTGGAACAATCGCTGTGCGTAAGGGTCAAGGCCGTAAAACTCTACTGGATGCTCGTGATCTCCGGGCCCTTAAACGTCACTGCACCTCAAACAGGAATGCCACTGTCAAGGAAATAACAGAATGGGCTCAGGAATACTTCCAGAAAGCATTGTCAGTGAACACAATCCACTGTGCCATCCGCCGTTGCCAGCTGAAACTCTACAGTGCAAAGAGGAAGCCATTTCTAAGAAGCTCCACAAGCTCAGACGTTTGCACTGAGCCAGGGGTCATTTAAAATGGAGTGTGGCAAAATGGAAGACTGTTCTGTGTCAGATGAGTCACGATTTGAAGTTCTTTATGGAACACTGGGACGCCATGTCATCCGGACCAGAGAGGACAAGGATAGCCCAAGTTGTTATCAACGCTCCGTTCAGAAGCCTGCATCACTGATGGTATGGGGTTGCATGAGCACTTGTGGCATGGGCAGCTTGCATGTCTGGAAAGGCACCATTAATGCAGAGAACTATGTTCAGGTTCTAGAACAAAATATGCTCCCATCTAGACGTCATCTCTTTCAGGGAAGACCCTGCATTTTTCAACACCATAATGCCAGACCACATTCTGCAGCAATCACAACATCATGGCTACGTAGGAGAAGGATCCGGGTACTGAAATGGCCAGCCTGCAGTCCAGATCTTTCACCTACAGAGAACATTTGGTGCATCATAAAGAGGAAGGTGCCACAAAGAAGGCTCAAGACGATTGAACAGTTAGAGGCCTGTATTAGACATGAATGGGAGAGCATTCCTATTTCTAAACTGGAGAAACTGGTCTCCTCTGTCCCCAGACGTCTGTGAGTGTTGTAAGAAGAAGGGGGGATGCCACACAGTGGCAAAAATGGACTTGTCCCAACTTTTTTGGGATTTGTTGACGCCATGAAATTTGGAAACAACAGATTTTTCCCTTAAAATGAAACATTCTCTCAGTTTAAACTGGTAAAAGTATGTGAACCTGTAGGATTATTAGTTAATTTGAAGGTGAAATTAGAGTCAGATGTTTCCATCAATGAGGATGATCAGGTGTGAGTGGTCACCCGGTTTAATTTAAAGAACAGGATATATCAAAGTGCTCTTCACAAGATGTTGGTGGAAGTGGATCATGGCAGGAACAAAGGAGATTTCTGAGCTCAGAAAAAAAAAAGTTGTTGATGTTCATCAGGCTGGAAAAGGTTACAAACATCTCTGAAGAGCTTGGACTCCACCAATCCACCATCAGACAGACTGTGTACAAATGGAGGACATTCAAGACCATTACCCCACCCCAGGAGTGGTGGAGCAACAAAGATCACTCTTAAGAGCAAGATGTGGACTAGTGGGCGAGGTCACAAAGGACCCCAGGGGAACTTCTCTCTCTGGACTGATGATGTTCATGAGTCCACCATCGGGAGAACACTGAACAACAATGTTGTCATGGCAGGGTTGAAGGAGAAAGACGATGCTCTCCAAAAAGAACATGGCTGCTCGTCTGCAGTTTGATACAGATCACGTGGACAAACCAGAAGTGTGTTGGAAGAACGTTTTGTGGACGATGAGACCAAAATAGAACTTTTGGTTCAAATGAAAAGTGTTATGTTTGGAGAAAGGAAAACTGCATTCCAGCAGAACCATCTCACATTTGTGAAACATGATGGTGGTAGCATGATCTGGGCCCGTTTTGCTGCATCTGGACCAGGACTTCATGCCATCATTGATGGAACACTGAATTCTGAATTATATCAGGACATCTGTCCATGAACTGAATCTGAAGAGAAGGTGGGTCATGCAGCAACACAATGACCTTCAGTGCACAAGTTCAAGAAGAATAAAGGTCATGTTGTGGAATGACCAAGTCAAAGTCCTGACCATCTAATCCAGATGTTGTGGAAGAACCTGAAGCTGCAGTTCATGTGAGGAAACCACCAACATCCAGAGTTGATGTTCTGTATGGAGTAAAATTCCTCCAAGCCAGTGAGCATGACTGATCAGCAGTTACCAGAAACGTTTGGGGGTGGGTTCACACCAGGTACTGAAGTACACGTACTCTTACCATTCGCAACTTTGGATCATTTTCCTCAATAAATGACCATGTATAATGTTTTAGTCACATTTGTTTAACTGGGTTCTCTTCTTCTCCTTTTAGGACTTGTGTGAAAACCTGAACAAGTTTTAGGTCATTTATGAAGAAATATAGAAAAATAAAGAGTTCACAAACGTTCAGCACCTCCGTTTATCTCCCGTTTTTTTCTGGCAGTTGCATTTTTAACATACTTCTACCAATATACCCACTGTCCCTCCTCTGGACGTGTCCAAACCACTGTCCCTCCTCTGGACATGTCCAAACCACCATCCCTCCTCTGGACATGTCCAAACCATCTCAGTCTGGTCATATCTCCCAGTTGTCCAACCTGTGCTGTACCTCTGATGATCTCATTCCTGATCTTCTCCATCCTTGTCACTCCTAAGGAGAACCTCAACATCTTCATTTCTGACACTTCCTGTTCTGTCTCCTGTCTTTTTGTCCATGTCTCTGTCTCCAGACCATACAACAGAGCTGGTCTCACCACTGTCTTGTAAACTTTTCCTTTGCCGAGAACCTTTTGTCACTAATCACTCCTGAAACTCCACCCAGACATATTTCCACAGTAAAAAAAAAATAAATAAATAAAAGCTTCTGCCCTTGGTCAAAATGACCCCACAGGCCTCAGTCACTGAGGTCAAAATGACTCGTGTCCTCTGTTTTGAAACTGAGGACACGAGTCATTTTGACCCAGAACAGCTAGAGGGTAAAGAGGAACATACAGGAGACTCAAAGTGGAAGTTTCCTTCGACCATTAGATCGTTTTCCAGTGCCAGTTTTCTGAAAGCTTCTCGACTTTAAACTTAAAATACAAATCCACCTCTGTAAATTTACATCATCCTAAACTTATCTCAGGGACCAAGTGACTGGAAATCAGGGAAACACCTGGAAAATAACGCATATTTTCCAGACAGGGAACTTGAACAGATCTGCTGTTGGTGTAGTAATGCTAGTATTCCAGCATCAAGTCCATGTTCTCAGTACACAGTACACAGTACATGTATCCTTGGAGTGGCTGTTCAGTTTGTTAGGCAGTACATCAGTAAAGTTGCTGTAGGCACGTTCCGCAGTACACAGTATCCTTACCATCACCTCTGAATGGGATCCTGTTCACCACCAAGTTCTGAGATTTCATGTGACAAGTATCTCCTGGAGTTTCAGGAAAACTCTGAAAATTTAGTTTTTTCATGAACTGCTGGAACCCTGCATGTGTCCAGTTTGCCTCAATAAACCAGTGTCCTCACGATCCTCGTGTTACGACGCCACCATCTACTGGCCACCAGTTAAAAAGAGAAGTACGTCAAATGTTTGCAGAATTTATTACAATTCCACCATCTTAAACAAAAAGCAGAAATTACAGAAATATGTACAATCTAGAATCCTTTAAAATACTCGTGACGAGTTTAAGGTACCAGTTTCATCTTGGACCTTCTGATGTCGTGGTCACGGGTGCTCACGGTGCAATGATTTTCCTGGTTCCTTGTAAACATCGCTAGATGAGGAGTCCAGCAGATCCTCCGGCTGGCTGCAGGTTCTGGATCCTCCGGCTGGCTGCAGG